GACTGGTATTTGGTGGTCAGCATTGTTATATGAGTATAAGTTTTTCAAAGGAAGAGTTACTGTCATTGGGAATCTTTATGAATGCTTCACATCCTAGAAGTACAGTAGAATCAACCTGGAGCTACGTAAGCTGCATCTCAAAGAACGAAGACCCTAGAGCTTCCCAGCCTGGCAGCCAGCAAGCGGAGCCTAGTGTCCTGGCTGCCTGGGGACAGCTCACTACATGCACATGGTGGCTCTCATCTGGGATCTAGGCATGAGAGGCTCCGTCCTGAGACCCATCTGCAGCTAGGTGGCTGCTGGATGTTTAAACTCCCAGGCCCAAGGTCGCGCCCCTCCCCAATCCCATTTACCGCCCAATGAGGGTGGCAGGTGCATCCAGGACCTGCCCAGTCAGGGAGACCTCCCCCTCAGTGTACTCACCCCGAAGGGAGCAGCCCCCAGAGCCCAGGCAGGCCCTGGGACAGCTCACCACGTGCACATAGTGGCTGCCTTCTGGGATCCAGGCAAGAAACGCACCGTCCTGAGACCCCAGCATTTTTTATTTTTGATTTTTGTTGAGAGATGCTTTAACTGGTGCTAAGTGAAAGCTCGTTGTGATTTTTATTTGCTTTTCCCAGATGGTCTGTGATCCAGAGTAATTTTTATGTGTCTGATGACCACTTGTGTTTTATCATTTTCAAAATGCTTTTATGATTTGATCATTTCAATAATCCATTTCTTAAGAGAATTTTGCTGCATTGTTTCGATTTTCTTAAGCTCTTTAATAGATTCTATACATTAATATCTTACCGGTTGTATAGTTTGTAAATATTTTTCCTGATATTTAAGTGATCTCTTCAGTTTGTTGAGTGTTTTCCTTTGCATTGCAGAAATTTATTAGCATTGTATAACCCCATTTATATATTTTTGGCTTTTATTGTTTGTATTTCTCAGATGCTATCCAAGAATTGTTCCCCAGTATCTTGCAAAATTTCCCTATATTTTTCCTTAGAGATTTCATCATTTTAGTTCTTCAGTTTGGATTCTTGATCCATTGTGTGTTGACATTTGTATAAGGTGTAAGGTACGGTGTCTTGTTTCATACATCTGCATGCAGAGATTCAACTCTCACAGCATTATTTGTTAAAGAAACTGTCCTTTATCCAGAGAATTATTTTAACTCATTCTTTAAATATCAGTTAATTATACCTGCATGGATTAATTTGGGGCATTTTGAATATGCTCCAGTGCATAACATGTCTGTTTTTCTTCCAGCACCAGGCAGTTTTGATTGTAAATGCACTAGAGTTTGTCTTAAAAATGTATTTGTGCTGTATCTGGCTTTGTTGGTATTTTGCTTTTGTTTTTGTTTGTTGGTTTGTTTAACTGTTAAGCATTGCGTTAGCTACTCAGATTCCATGTGTATCCATATAACTTTTAGGTTTTTTTTTCCAAGATCCTAGAAGAATATAGTTGGCATTATGGTTGGGATCAGATTGATTTTATTGCTATTACATGAATATGTAAATATTAATTCTTCCCATCCAAGAACATGGAAGATGTTTTATTTTTGTCAGCATCCTCATCCATGGTGTTGTTTGTCCATAGAAATGCTGTTTATTTTGCATGATGCTTTTATTTCCTGAAACTTTGCCAAACTCTCACAAATTCCAATAGCCTCTCTGTGGTTCCCTTACATCTAGAATCATGATATGTGCAAACAGGTGTAATGTAACTTTCTCCTCTCTAAATCATATCCCTTTGGTTTGTTCTTGCCTAATGGCTCTGACTGAAAACTTCCAGAACTATATAGAATAGCAACAATAAGAGTACATTCTTTTTTCATTTCCTATTGTCTTAATTCCAGTAGTGGAAGAGGATACATATTGTCAAAAATATACTAGCCAAAGACACATAAAAAATAAGTACCTTAGAACAAGTGGGGTACATTCCTGGGGTGTAGGGATGGTTCATTATAATCAAAGCAATAAATGAGAGGCATTCCATTAACAAGCTGAGTAATAAAAGCCCTATGCTTATCTCAGCAAATGTTGAAAATAATCACTACCTCATCTTTTAAAAATAATTAGCTTAAGCAAGTTGATTATAGAAGGAACATGCCTAAACCCAATCAACAAAGTAAGCAACAAACATAAACAGCATCATATCTAACAGGCAAAATCTGGAAGGATTTCTTTTGTAAGATGTCAGGATTAAGGAAATAAAGACAGAGATCTGTTCATTGGTTCACTCCACAAATAGCTTCAATAGCTGGAACTTGGTTAGGCTAAAGCCAGATACTAAGAGTTACACTAAGGTCTCTGGCATAGGAAGTAGGAACCCAAACACTTGCACCATCTCCTGATGCTTTTCCCAGGCCACTAGCAGGGAGCTGGATAGGAAGTGGAGCATCCAGGACATGAACTGTTGCCCATATGGGATGCCTGAGTCTCAAGTGGCAGTTTGACCTAACATCACAGCACTGACCAGGAAGCATTTGTTCTGAACATTTTCTAAGGCAATAGATTTTTAGAAAGATCAATGCAAATATAGAAATCTATTCCTGCATAATAAAAACCTAAGTCCTACTAATACGGTATGATTCATGTCATTATTTATATTTTCATTTATGTAGTTGTATTTTCATATTTATAATTTTTGTATTTTTGATACTTATTAAATTGAAAGACAAAATTACACAGAGAGAAGGAAACACAAGCAAACAGAAAAAGAGAAGGATAGGGAGAGAGAATGAATATCTTCCATCTACTGTTATATTCCCCAAATGGCCACAGTGTCCAGGAGCTTGGGGCTTCTTCCATTCTCCCAGGTGGTTCAAGAATTAATCACTGGGACCATTTTCCACTACATTTCAGGCACCTTTGCAGAGAGCTAGAATGGAATGCCACAGCACTGGCTCCATGATCCCTTATTTTTAAAGAAATAAATAAAATACAAACCCAATTGACAAAATTCTGTTTATCATTTTTTTTAAATAGAAGGAGGAAGTGGCGATTAAAGGAGGAATTTACATGGTGATGAAAATGTGGCAGATTGCTTGATCTATCTGGCAAATGTATTTGCAGTTTCATACATTTACTCGTATAAGCAACAATTAAAATTGAGTATTAATTGTGTTCTGAGCCATAGAGCTAGAGTGATGAAATTATAAATTTAGTTATTAGTTGTGAAGAAAATCAACCAGTTAATAATTATTAGAAATCAAGTTGTGATAGAGACTAAACCAGTACACATTTGGAATATGTTAGGAGAGACTCATTAGCTAGGCAAAATCTCATACAGGAGGACTTCTTGCATGGCCTATGATCTAAGGAGTAAAGAAAGTTGAACAAAGACTGATGACACATGGATTGTTGCCAGTGCAAGAAACCCAAGTGCAAAGGTGAAGCCAGAGGTGTGTAAAGAGGGCAGGAGTTTGAACAGAATTATTGTTTCTATCCTAGTGGAAAGGTAGGATTCAGTTATTCAAATGGTTTCTTGATATCATTATATGCCCAGTTACACAGTTTTCTCAACCTTGAAGTGTTCATAATGTTAAATTTATTGCATAGATTATCTCATATTTCCATGAGTGTCTGTGAGACGGACAAGGAAAAACTTATCCTTGTATCGTTGTTGAGGGATATGCTTACTAATGAAGCTAGAATCAGATTCTTCAGGGCATTGAAACAGTAATTAATGTATTAATTTAGTGAATCAATTCAGAGCACATTGTACATGACAGTCACCATCTTAGGTGACTGGATACAGTATAGCAAAGATTATCAGGTGTCTGCTGTATTGGGCATAACCATAATGGAATACTACTTACACCCATCTGTATGTGCCTGCATGTACTAATGAACACCTACACACACAGACAATCATATGTGCAAAATACACCCGAAGTTAAGTGTATTAGGTAGAAAAAGTGATATAAAGGGAATGAAAGATATCAGATGGAATTAGATGATCTGGTTTCATTGGTTATGCTTTGTAAGAGATAACCAGGTAACTATTACTCATGGCCAACATAGCATTGAAGCATAACAATGAAAGAGGTAAAGATGGAGAAGGGAATAGGTTACCGGATCCAGAGTATAAAGGATGGCAGTGAGGAAGCAGGGGGGAAATAATGAGCTCAGAGAAGGACAGAGAAAAAGAGAGAGAGAAACAAACAAATGAACACAGATGGCTAGGACTTCAGCAGACTTGAAGTGTATTTGAAAAATGTCCAGAAAAAACCATATCAAAGCCATGCTTTATGCCACACAGTCACAGTCAGTAGTCCAGCACATAGGAATTCACCATTTTGTCAGTGAAAAGCCATTTTTTTTTCAGTATTTCTCCTGAAACAAGAGAAACCAAGCTCCATCATTTGATTTTCAAAAACATTTCTATTGCCTTAATGTGCCATTGGAGTTTAATTAAAAATCATCAAACGGGGATTTACAATTGGAGCCGTTTGGTTTATGTGTGGATATGCAGCCAGATGATCTGAATTTTATGACTTTCTATAGATCTCTTTCAATTTTGTGGTCTTTCAGCTGTAAAAATTTCAGCAAATTTATGTGCCATTCATCAAGTTTAAGTCTTCAAGTAAATAAAATCACTGACTTAAAAACACATTTAGTGTAAGTTATGCAATTTCGTAATTACATACTATTTTGATAACCGGCAGAGATGTCACCTTTCCCTTATATTTGAAAAAGAAATTTCGAAGCAGAATCTTGTGTAAAGATATGAAAATAGTTATCTGAGCCAAATTAAAAGGTGCTTTTACTCTAATTGTAAATAATCCTATCCACCGGGCAGGAAATTTCTTCATCTTTCCCACTTTTTGAACACATGCATGGTTACAGCGTATCATCACATTCATTTAAGAATACTGTTATTTATCTAATTTAAAAGCAGCTTGAGCATCTTCCAAACAAATTTGAATCTGTACCTGATACAGCAGCTGCCTTACTTAGCAGTGATTGACACTATTTTGAGTTCTATGCCTTTCTGTATTTTAGAATGAGGAGCCTGTGTTTTCCAGGGATGGCAGCAAGTTCTTCATGACTGTTCCTGTTAAGCAAGGTGGCCGTGGCGAGTTTCATCATATAGCTATGTTCCTTGTGCAGGTAAGTGTTGCTTTCTTTCTACGTTTTGATTTCATTGTCACCATGTTTCAAAAACGTCCTTTCCTGTGGCATTCTGAACCTACACTTAACAGTTGTGAAGTCCAGTAATACATGCATTGCACACACATTCTAGGATGAAGAAATGCATCTGCCACCTTGATTCAAATATATTGCACCATATATATAATAGCTGTGCTAAGATCTGTGCGCCTGGGTAATACATTCAGTAAATGAGTAGCACCCAACTAATATGTTTTGCCTACTTTGCACAAGTATTTTCTCATGGTATTGTAATAATTTTTAACATTTAAAGCAACCTACAAGTTGAAAATCAAAAAAATCAATGATTCACTAAATTATGGTGAAGGAACAAAACCAAAGCCAATGCAGATTTACTTTTTCTTAAAAAAAGGGGGGGGACAGGATAGGATTTTCTTATGTGATAGCATATCAAAAACAAAATGTCTGTTTTATGCTTTTTTTTGACAGTCTAATAAAGGGAGGGGAAATGTGTCTGTAATATAAGAAGAATGTTAATTGACCATGCGCTTTTACTTAATTATAAAAATTAGTGGGTTCACAACAATTTCTTCTTTTGTCATTATTTATTATTTGTTTGAAAAAGCATAGAGACAGAGATGGAAAGATAAAGAGAAAATGCACAAATCTACAAATTCTGTACTAGCTAGTGCTGGATTATCTGGAGGCCAAAAGATCAGAATTCTGTTTGGACCTCCCATGTATGTGAAAGGTTTTTGTTATAGGAAAGCCAGAAGTAGGCAGCTCCATCTGAAGCTCAAACAAGGCTCTGGTGCTATATCCAGGCCTTGGAAGTAGCACGCTGATTGCTTTGCCTAACACCAGCCCCACAAATAATTGATTTAAATATGATCATATTGGTTGGAACTTAATTCCCAAAATGAAATTTTTTTTAAAAAGCATCCTCCTCATATCAAATAATAAGCATTAAAATCTCACAGGAAAAAGGCTCTGTAATGATAAATAATTATGGTAGAATTGCAATTTTTATGAGTATTACAAATTAGCCAAGCATCATTTTATGAAAGTAGCCTCATATTAGACAAAACATGTTTGTCCTTTTGGGATTGACTCATTTCGCTGAATATAATGGTCTATCTTTGGGATCATTTTGATGCAAATGATGGAATCTTGTTCTTTTTAATGGTGATATAGTATTCCATGGAAAAGATTTACTACAATTTTTAAAATCTATTCCAATTTCATGCAAAATATGGAACAAATAGATATATGGGTGAACAAGTATATATGTGTATTTTTGTAGGTAAACTGTATAATGGAAATTAACATACTGGGAAGTGAAAATGTGTCACTGTAGGCATCTCTACTCCTGAATAAAAGGAAGTCTCCCAATGCAACAATTAGATGTGCCTTAACAGTATGATACTAGATTTTCCATATTTATATCTATCTATCTATCTATTTATCTATCTATCTATCTATCTATATTTCTATGATATACTTAAAAGCTTAATGTTAAATATATGCCAGTTACTAAAGGACTACACTGTAGTAATATTGTTGAGGAAATGCTGGATGAGGGGAGGACAATGGAGACCCATATACCTACGAAGATGTATCATAGCAAATGATTTCTTAAAATAATCATTTCATGTCTATACAGCAGAAAAATGCTGGCCAATCCAGTTGTTTCTCATATTCTTAGAACCTAAAAAACATTTTTATGTATTTTCAAATGGTTACCTCAGTAGTTTTCACACATTTGTATTTGGCAGCTTAATACTTCAAACTCTCAAAATCTTTGGTCAATAGTTTAAAATTTAAAACCTTGTCTGAAATATAAGCTGTTAAAATAATTGTCATGGCTTTACTGCTGAAATAATATGGAATATATCATTTTTACTGTAAAAGTGATGATCAGGTGTCCTGAGATGATATTAAGGTAGAAAAACAGTTTATACGATGATTGTGATCAAATTTATGTTGTGTATAAATTTATACAACTGTATATGATTATAATTTTGGATGTTTTATATCAAACTATGAAATCAGTGTATCAGGATTTTAAGGGATATTTATATAATATATGAACCGAAAGACACTTCATCAGAGAACTGTTTCAAGCAATCTTTGTTGTCATAAATATTTAGCAACTACTTTAGTTAAAAAAAAAATCTAGTGACCAAATTTGTAATTGATCATATCTTTTTATTGGATTTTAAACCTAAGAATATGTCCAGACTATGAATATATATAAAATACAGTGAGGAATAACCAAAGTTGAATAACACTTCTTTATATGTAATTAAAAAAAAAGCTTCCTCTAGTTAATAAAAAAGAGATGGTGTTTTATATTTTAAAGATTTACTTCATTTTTGTTAGAAAGTCAGATATACAGCGAGGAGGAGAGACAGAGAGGGAGATCTCCCATTCAGTAATTCACTCCCTAAGTAGTGGCCAGCAGCCAGGAGACTCTTCCTGGTCACCCACACAGGTTCAGGGTCCCAAGGCTTTGGGCCATCCTTGACTGCTTTCCCAGGTCACAAGCATGTGTAATTTTAGCATAGTTGCGGGATTGGATGAAATTGTGATGGTGGCAGGTAAGATGTTTGCATAACTAACAGTAAGACATATTAAGCCTTGGGAAGAAATACTTCTTTTATCTCAATCAAAACAACCTGACATGCACCCTGATTTCTTTCTTTTTTTTTTCCCTGAAATGTTCAGAAGCAAAACTTAAGAGAACAAATGCATTCATTTTGTTCCTCTTCCATGTAGACTCTGTAATGAAGCTTTCATTACAGTTGAAAATATTTTTCTGTACTCTGGTTGCTCGTTAGGGATTTTCTGATTTTCCTCACTAAGAAATAGACATGACTATGTGATTGTGGAGATTTTGCAGTGGACTAGAATAATCCACTCTGCTTAAATAGATACAGTGCTAATGCAGATAGGATTGATACCAAACATGACACATAAACACAGCTACACATACACACATGCATACATACACATTTTAGACAACAGATGGCATTTCTACTTTTCAACTTCACAATAGCTGAGAAAGAACTACTTTATGAGTTGTTTGTATTTGCCTTATAAATATAAACGATTCCAAAAGCTCATGGAAGTTACATGCTACATAAAACCATGTGTGATTTTTTTTTCTTTTTTTGGTACCAAAATAAATATCATTTCAAAAGCACAGAGAAAATGAATCAAAGAGAGAAAGAGAAAGGGGGCACTCGCGTCCATTTGTCTATTCTCCAAATGACCTCAGGCGCCAGAACTGAGTGAGGTTGAAGCTGTGAGCTCTCCCAAGAGGATGGCATGGATCCAGTTACTGCTGCCTTCCAGGGTTCTCACTAGACAGGAACCAGCACTAGGCATCAAACCCAAGCAATTGAAATACTTTCCCATAAGGAAATGCTTTTTTTTTTTATTTCAAACTTTTGAAATAAATATGTGTACTTACATTTATTTTAGAACAGTTCTAAAATAAACTAAGTTAAAAAGTGTACAAAATCACAAACTTACTAGTTCATGTTTTCATGTTTTTAATCAAGTGCTGCATGTATTTCCAATGGCCTTTTTGTGCTGAGATGCATATATTCTTTTAAAGAGTACAGTCATAAAATATATAGTGATAACACTTGAAGAATAACTATGGATATTGTCTCTTGTCATTTCCCTTCATTCCTAATGTTTACATGTCATGTGATTTTGTGATATTTTAATAGCTGCTTAACATTCCATCTAGGAGATATTCAATTTCATATTTAAATGTTTAATTTTTTCACTATTAGGATTATCTTTTTTTGATATTAGAATGGGTGCAGAGATAAACAGTGTTATACATAAACATCCTTTGGTATCTGTGATTTATTTTCCCACAAAACTGCATTTTCAGCTGTTAGAGGCCAGCTAGGCAAAGCATGTAGATTCTGTGTGTAGATTCTGAAGGCTTTCATACAGATTGCTAGATGGGCACTAGTTTACAGTCCAGGCAGCACTGGCTGCTATCATCAGTGAGCCTGTGTCCCTCCTTTCTTCTCACCACACTACAATACTCTACGACAATCAGCTGCCCAGAAAGTGAGAACATTAGCCAGATGCTCAGGCCTGGCAAGCATGCAGTCAGGAGCACCACCCTTGCATGCTTAGCTCTGCAACGCAACTTCCTGATTCACTCAGAAAAGAGAGAAGTGTGTGTGACATATACTTGAACCGTGGAGACATTTTGGAGACATGTCCCTATCTCACACAGTCAGTAAGGAGGTAAAACTCTTTAGATCCAATATAACGGAATTAATCCTTCCGTTACAAGCTATTTCATTATAGAGAGTGATAGCTGTCATTGCAAACACTTTCATGTTGTCTCTTTTTATTTCTCATTTGCAGCAGTTCTTCCTTTTTAAATTCATTTTTTAAAAAAGAAAATTTGTTTTCTTCTAGTCCCTTCCCTTTGAACATAATGATAACTTTATGTAGAGCACTGTATTACATACAGCAGTTGACATTTAACTTTGTATGCTTTTTCCCATAATGCTGGGAAATCTTGGAAAAAATTTCTTTAAATGGCTGATGTTGAGTTCACTAAGTACTTATTTTAACAGTATCTTGATAATCTTATTGTTCATGCATAATTGAATGAAAATTTGTTACAGCTATAGTAACATGATTCTTGCTTAAATTTTGGTTTATTTGAGAATATTTCACAGAACTGAAATTTCTGGATCAAAAATATTCCTAAGCCCTTAAATCACTACTTCCAGATAACTTTTAGTATGAATATGCAAAAGCAAAACATTTGAATATTTTCTGTTTTCATATATTTTATTAAAATCAGTATGCTTAAAATCATGGGTCTTCTGAAAATTTGCATAGATAATTGTTTTCCTAGGTAGTACATGGGATAGGCATATTAATTGTACTTTCTGTACTCCCTAAGTCTCACAGGGTTGCAAAACTTTTTTTTTTTGCCTCAGACTGTTGAACTC